CTGCTGGCTGACGCCTCAACTTCCTCTTTATCTCTCCTACTCTGCCTCTACTGTATTTTTTGTGATGATAATGAAGACCGACAAAAGAATAAGTAGGTGGATTACAATGTGACTTAATTAATTTCCAGAAGCGTTATTAATAGCGCACCTCAGATGATCCACTTATATCTCCCACAGTCTAGACAAACTTTAGAAATGAAGAATCAAATGGTCTCCTTTTTTGTGTTGCTAATACCGAGTAAATGCATTCTCTTATATTTCTTAAACGCCTACAGTACAAGTGTGCCTGCAGCACCGAGATTTGTATACACCCCATTTCTCTCCTTGTCCCTGGCGTAACCCTTTCCCCACCCCCCACCTAGCTAAACCCATCATCTTTATTCAATATGGCCCCTGGTAAAGCATTTTAAGTCGGCTTAGCTTTTCAAAAAAACTTCTGTTTTTTGGAGTGTTCACTTTCTCTTACTAAGTCTGTCTCTCTTTATCTAATGCCCACCCCCACATTACACACACACACCATAACAAACACACACACACACTAACACAAAGAAAAGTGTTCTTAATGCTCATGAGCAACATCTGAGTTACTACGGTAATATTCAGGCTTGTTGTCAGGAAATTCGATCTCAATGAAATCAACACAGATATGATTTACCTGTAGCTACCTAACTACAACAGAGGTGTACACACACACACACACACACACACACACACACACACACACACACACACACACACACACACACACACACACACACACACACACACACACACACACACACACACACACCAGCAACCCCAGGGGGCTGAGAGGTGGTGCCAATAATGGAAATGGAGGACACCGTTTTCTCCAGTAAAATCACACATAAGCATATTCCCCTGACAGTCTGGATGGGCGCAAAGAGAGATGTTCTGTAATATTACTGTGTGTGTGTGTGTGTGTGTGTGTGTGTGTGTGTGTATAAATACATTCTGGCTCATGGATGGATGGGGAATCTCAACGGTGATTTGTTTGCTTGGATTAAATGTCAGTTTTGGAAATGTGTTGTTAGACCCAAACTCCTGAGAGAGAGGACGTGCAAGAGCAGGCTAGACAGACAGACTCACCTGAGGTGTGCGCGTCTGTGTGTGTCTCGGCTGAGTAATAGGAATCATTTGTAGAACAAACGGTAAAAATACAGCATTATGCACCTGTACACTTTTGATTGGCTTAAAGAAAGTGGAAGTATATCTGTATACCACTGCTCGCGTCTTCGCAAACACCCCTAACCCCTAAACCTTACCCCGGCCTAACCCAACAAACAGAGGTGATTTGAATGGTTTTGAATTGAAAACATTGACAACATGACATCAAACCAATAATTTGAAAAAATAACGATGATCCAGAAAGAAGACCACACACGTAATTTCCTTTATCTTTGTCACGTGACTTCCGACCCTATTAGGAGTTTAACAGCAGGCCGTAAATCTATTTGAAGTAAAAAATAGTTTAGATGACATCACAAGTTTCTAATCTGAGGTCTCATATCTCACAGATTGTACAGTAGTTTTTGGTTAATCTTTTTTATGCCTATTTCCGCCCGTTTGGTTGTCTCTCCTTGCCTTGCGATTAAAAGATATGTCATAACAGTCTAAAAAGGGAAACTGTAATAAATATGTTTAAAGACAAAGATGTATATTTATAAATATTGTCTTTTATTTTCATAAAGTTCATGGTTGAAAGAGGAAGGAGTGTTCGTGAATAAGGGAAATACTGGTCACTGATTGGTTCAGGTGGGCGGGTTCAGGTTTGCAGGAATTGAATGTGTGAGAGAGAGAGAGAGAGAGAGAGAGTGTGCGTTAGAGTTGTGACTTGATTGAAAAAGGCCCAACCCCAAGTTTGGGATTGGAGTTTTATTTGAGTTATTAATTAGAATTTTTTGTCTAAGAGATGCTGATTCGAAACCGTTGTTACATACAGTTACGGCATTTCCTGTTTCTGCTGGAGAGAGGGGAGTTTGTCCCAAAGCTTGCTGCTGTATTTACTCCCTCCATCTGACAGGAGGGAGCCTCGTTGAGCTGCGAGTGTCACTCCACGGAGTTCATTCCGTCACGGAGGGGTGTGTAGGGCAGGGGTGCCCAACCTTTTTTGAACCGAGAGCTACTTTTAAAGTTGCCAGTCTGCCGAGATCTACCAGTCCAAGTAGAGAGGCGTAGCCATTACTGACAGCCTACTACTAGGCGAATACACACTTCTACTTGTATAAAACTGACCTTTGTACGATTAATACTTCATAACATACTGCAGATCCTTTATCTTACCTTTCTAATCTACACACATACAAGTATTTAACCTCTTAAGCACGGCGGACCCCCCCCCACTGTTTTCTTTTCGAGACTGTGTCTCAGGGCTTCTTAACATTTATGAAACTATTAATGTGTAGCACCAGATTAACGGGAAGAATCTCAGCTAACTGAAGATATGAACCATGTTTACCAAAACAAAACTCAAGGGTAATACCAAGCCTCTGACAGCCAAAAGTGTGCAACTGACACTTTACTCATCTTTTTCTCGTGATTTTTTTCTCACGCTGCGCCTCCCCTGAAGCTCTCTGGTGCCCCCCCAGGGAGGCACGCCTCACACTTTGAAAACCGCTGCCGTAGAGGATGCTATTGCAGTAGTCGAGTTGTGATGTGATGAATGCATGAATCAGGGTTTCAGCAGCAGAGGAGGAGAGTGATGGGCGGAGACGGGCAATGTTTTTGAGGTGGAAAAAGGCGGTCCTGGTGATGTGATAGATGTGGTGGTTGAATTTGAGCTGACTGTCGAAGACGACTCCGAGGTTGCGGATGTGAGGGGGGGGAGATAGAGTGTGGCTGTCAATGGTGAAGTTGAAATTCTGGATGGCTTTGGTACGGGATGGGGGGCCGATGATGATGTCTGATTTGGCAATGTTCAGTTGGAGATAGTTTGTTTGCATCCATGCTTTTATTTCTGAGAGACAGTTGGTGAGAGTGGAGTGGGGGGTGATGGTTTTTGTTGAGATATAAAGTTGGATGTCATCGGAGTAGCAGTGAAATTGAAGGTTGTGGCGACAAATTATTATGCCAACTATAGTGACATTATAATAATTTCCAGTTAAAGAGATTATTGATCTCACGTTATTGAAGGTACATTTAAGCACTGTATATTTCATGTTGTTTGTTCACAAGTGTATAGTAAATAATTGAGAGTTCCATTTCTTAAGCTGATTCAAGCATGATATTTGGTTATTTCCTCTAATAGTGGTATTTAAACTAATGTGCTCAAGGTAAGTGACATTGTGTTCAACTAATTTAAATATAAGATGTTGCTCAGCTAAATGATTTAGTGTTTATATTT